TATGAAAACTCCGCTTAAGCGGCTGTTTCTTCTCCTTGGCCGAGAAGACTTTCTTCTTTGCCATCCTGTCAAGAACTGTCTCGAGGTCCAGGTCAAACAGCAGGTCACCTGAAAAGGGAATTCCACACAACCTGACCTTTGATCTAGGGTCCATGTCTTGAGCCAGATGGCTTGTCTGGCTGAATTAACCAGAGTCGAGGACCTGGCTGACATCCTAATAAACTTGGCTGAAGAGTCCACCATATATCTTACTGCCCTCAGATGGGTTGGGAAGGATTCAAATAACTCTACTAGAGGTCCCTGCCTCCACGTGCTCCTTCAACTGGTCGAACCAACATTCTAAAATTCTGGCCACTACCGTTGAAACCATCGCAGGCTCAATTGGAAAAAGTGGAGTCCTATGCTTTCTTGAGAAGGGAATCCACCCTTTTATCCATCACATCCTTGAGGACGCCCATATCCTGAAATGCCAAGTCCGTACGCCTGGACACTTGCGATAAGGCAGCATTGACTTTTGGCTTTTTATTTGAAACACAGGACTCATCTTCCTCGAAGGGAAATCTCCTGCAGAGGGATTTGGAAAAAAACGGAACCCTCTCTAGATCCTTCACTCTTTCTTTACTGCTTCAGACAGGACTTTATGGACTGGAAAGACCTTGCGTTTGATCTCATCCAGGCCCTCATATACCGTGAGGAACAGAAGTATTTGAACACCCTGTGATTTTGCAAGTTCTCCCACTTAGAAATCATGGACGGGTCTGAAATTCACATTGTAAGTGCATTCCCACTCTGAGAGACAGAATTAAAAAAAAAAATTCAGGAAATCACATTGTATGATTTTTAAAGAATTTATTTGTCTTGCACTGCTGAACATAAGTATTTGAACACCTAAGAAACAGCAAGAATTCTGGCTCTCAAAGACCTGTTACTGTGCCTTTAAAACGTCCACCTCTACTCCACTCATTAATCTAACTTAGTAGCACCTGTCTGAGCTCTTTAAAGACACCTGTCCACCCCACAGTCAGTCAGACGCCAAGACCATGGGCAAGACCAAAAGACACCAGAGACAAAATTGTGGACCTCCACAAGGCTGGAAAGGGCAACGGGGCAGTTGCCAAGCAGCTTGGTGAAAATAGATCAACTGTTGGAGCAATTGTTAGAAAATGGAAGAGGCTACAGACGACTGTCAGTCTCCCTCGGACTGGGGCTCCATGCAAGATCTCACCTAGTGGGGTATCATTGATAAGAAAGGTGAGGAATCAGCCCAGAACTACAAGGGAGGAGCTGGTCAATGACATGAAGAGACCTGGGACCACGTTTTCAAAGGTCACTGTCAGTAGAACACTACGCCGTCATGGTTTCAAATCATGCATTGCACGGAAGGTTCCCCTGCTGAAGTCATCACATGTCCAGGCCCATCTGAAGTTTGCCAATGACCATCTGGATGATCCAGAGGAGGCATGGGAGAAAGTCATGTGGTCAGATGAGACCAAAGTAAAACTTTTTGGTCTAAACTTCACTCGTCGTGTTTGGAGGAAAAAGAAGGATGAGTTGCATCCCAAGAACACCATCCCTACTGTGAAGCATGGGGGTGGCAACATCATGCTTTGGGGGGTGCTTTTCGGCGAAGGGGACAGGACGACTGCACTGTATTAAGGAGAGGATGAATGGGGCCATTTATTGTGAGATTTTGAGCCAACAACCTCCTTCCCTCAGTCAGAGCATTGAAGATGGGTCGTGGCTGGGTCTTCCAACATGACAACGACCTGAAGCACACAGCCAGGATAACCAAGGAGTGGCTCCGTAAGAAGCATATCAAGGTTCTGGAGTGGCCTAGCCAGTCTCCAGACCTAAATCCAATAGAACATCTTTGGAGGGAGCTGAAACTCCGTGTTGCTTAGCGACAGCGCCAAAACCTGACAGATCTAGAGGAGATCTGTGTGGAGGAGTGGGTCAAAATCCCTGTTGCAGTGTGTACAAACCTGGTCAAGAACTACAGGAAACGTTTGACCTCTGTAATTGCAAACAAAAGCTTCTGTACCAAATATTAACACTGATTTTCTCAGGTGTTCAAATACCTATGTTCAGCAGTGCAAGAAAAATAAATTCTTTTAAAAATCATACAATGTGATTTCCTGATTTTTTTTTTTAAATTCTGTCTCTCAGAGTGGGAATGCACCTACAATGTGAATTTCAGACCTCTCCATGATTTCTAAGTGGGAGAACATGCAAAATCGCAGGGTGTTCAAATACTTCTGTTCCTCACTGTATTTATCATGCATAGATAGCTGTACTTTTTCCTCCTGAATCTCAAGGGTGGTGTAGATTGCTCATCCACCTACTCCAATGCCAATTTGTATCTGGAGGACCTTGCTGCTTCCACTTTCCCCTCCTCGTCATCCAAAACCTTAAGGGATAGCAGGATACTTTTCTCTCTCCTCCTCTGAGTCACTAACATCCAAACACCTTGAGGTGGATGGCAGAGGGTGCTTTCCTGAGAACGTGACAAATTTCCTGGCATCTTGTCCACTAAGGAGCGTAACGAACCAAAAATCTCCGATAGCTCCTTTACTGAAGAGACTAACTGCTCATACTGCAGTGAGGATTCTTCCTTGACCAATACAAGACCTGCACAAGGGTTTTGACCAGGAATCTCTGAGATGATTCTTACAGGAGGGGCATTTTCTAGGAGAACCTCTCAGTCTTGGCTGAGGCTTTAGCCTCAAACAAAAACACAAAAAAAACACGGCCACGTAATTTGGGGACCCCTATCTTAACGCTGCCCCCAGTGCCACCCTACAACCAAGAAACAGAACACCACGTGGGAGACATGCAGAGATGAGAAGCACCAAGGGACCTTCCACACATCAAGGCCACACACCACCAGAACTCTGGGCACATAGGACAAGACCTCCTGGCGGTCATTGCTCAGAGGAGTCAGAGGAAAGAGGCACCAGAACACCCCCCACACGTCGGAGGGTGCTGGGATGGTCACACAAAGCAACGCCACCAGGGTAAGCCACCACACCCTTCCGCACCCAGAGAGAGCACAGCCCTCCCTCTAGGTTCCCTGGAGCAGCCTTTCTCAACCAAGGTGCCCAGGCACCCTGGGGTTCCTTGAGGTTTCGTCAGGGGTGCCTTGGCAAAATGTGTAGAGATTGCCCAAAACATGTATACAAGCCAGCAGGAGGAACAAGCCTACCTTTTTAGTTACACAAAGCCACAGGTTTTCATTGTGCACCATTATGACCTTCTAGCCGCCGGCATCCTGACAACCAATTACATCATCAGTTGATAAGGAGGATGTCAGCTGCCTGCACAGCATCCTAGTTTGACCCTCTCCTGCCCCTCTCCATCAAAGCCGGGGTCACATTAGCTCAGTGATGGAAAAAAAACTGCAAGAGAAGAGAAACACTGGAATACTAGTCAGTACCAGTGTGCAAAAGTGTATTTGCTTTGGAAGAATAAATCATCTCTAGTGCTGGGTGTCCTACATGTGTGGATGTTGCTGCATTATATAACACTATTAGAATAGTTTTTCACATTTTAGAATGGGGTGCCTCAAAACTGTCCATTTTAAAGGGTGCCTCGGGACTGTCCATCATTTTAAAGGGTGCCTTGACTGAAAAAAGGTTGAGAAACACTGCCGTGGAGCACTGCCACCATAGTGAAGGAAACACAAAAAACTGAAGGCATGGTGGAAGAAGCTGGGTTTTTGATGTTTGGCTGCAGTGTCCTGGGAGAAGGGGTGGAGCTACATTCTTTTCCAGGTGCTCTCCTGGAAGGCAAGGTTGGAAATTTTTCTTGTAATTTTCCATAAATTTGTGGCAAAAAAATGTAACCTTACATGGACATGCCTCTCAGCAAATTCCTTGGGGTGTCTACTTTCCAAAAAGGGGTCATTTTTTTTTTGTACTGCCCTAGCACCTCAAGAAATGTGATAAGCAGTCAGAAAGTAAAAGCTGCATAAATTCCAATATATATACCGTAGTTTGTAGACACTATAAATTTCACACAAACCAATTAATATACATGTACTGGGATTATTTTTACCAAATACATGTAGCAGAATACATTTTGGCCTAAATTTATGACTAACTTTGAGTTTATTGGATATTTTGTATAACCGAAGGTCAAAAAGTTTGAAAAAAAAAAAATATATATTTTCTGTCTTTTTTTCATTTATATCACAAAAAATTAAAAACCCAGTGGTGACAAAATACCACCAAAAGAGAGCTCTATTGGTGTGAAGAAAAGGACATACATTTTGTTTGGGTACAGAGCTGCATGACTGCGCCATTTCAAGTGGAAATAGTGCAGCGCCGAATAGCCAAAAATTGCCCGGTCATGAAGGGGGGAGGGGGGTGTTGGGTAAATCTTCCAGAGGACAATTGGATAACTTTCACACAGAACAAATATACACTGATTTGGGTTATTTTTACCAAAGAAATGTAGCAATATGAATTGCGATAAAAGTTTATGCAGAAAAATATTATAGCAGCAACTAAGAAAAACAATTTTTTTTCCCAAAAAAATTTGCGGTCTTTTTTCGTTTATAGCACAAAAAATTAAAAAACCCAGTGGTGATTGAATACCACCAAAAGGAAGCTCTGTCTCAAAAAATTATAACAATTCCATGTGGGTACAGTGTTGTATGAGTAATTATCAATCAAAGTGCGACAGCATTGAAAGCTGAAAATGGCCTGGGCAGGAAGGGGGTGAAAGTGCCCGGTATTGAAGTGGTTAAGTAGCGAGATCTTCCTAGCATAATTTCATTTGTCATTGAGGAGTTTTGGGAGGTCTTTCCCCATCCTGCTTTTCCCCCATGTATCCTTCATGATAGATATTAAAGTAAAACATAATTATCTATGTAAAAGCTGTAAGTGATTTTTGGACAAAAATTATATAAATCTCCAACTACTTACATAAGCTGAAATATCTATTTTGCATCCACTATTCCCATAAAATAATAAACACAAAACTAAAATACAAATTTTTACCTTCCAGTCTAGCGATGGTTCCTTCACAAACACATCCATAGTGCTAATGAGAAGATCAGGGTTTGTTCGATAGGCTCGTAAGGCATGTATCATAATTGAATCAAATAATCCAACTTCCTTCATAGGCAACAACAGGTTTACTATCTGGCGGGTCAGGCGGAATGGCATCAACTCAGGAACAGGCAAAAACTAAGAAAAGACTACAGTAAGTAATCAACACACAACATCTTGTATCAGATACTGAAATGTATATCTCTTTTCCTAAACTCAACAGTGAAAATGTAATGGTCAATGCAGGTACTTCATGAGATGTAATCCCATGAAGTCTATTAAGAGTTGTACAAACTCTTCTGGAATTTTACGTTTACACCCATTCTCTTATACTTGAGCTGCTCAGTGGCCTTTAGTTAAAGTGAATCTTAACTCACCTAAACATCTTACTTTGCCACTTCTGAACTTAAAAAAAAATATGAGGAACATCTAGAAATGTTCATTGTACTGAAGTACAACCCTAAAATTCTACTTTTTGCCTTGAATTCTTTCTGAAATATAGTAGTGTATTTCCTGTGTCTTTTCCTTTATAACTGCATATCTGCCATGTGAGATCATCTATGGCATCACTGCTTTGTGCTACTCTGAGATTTGGTGTTGCTCACTGTTTTCTTGAGGGATTGCTGCATAGGAACCTGTGCGTGAGCATTGCACCTGCAGTATGAAGATTTCCATGGTTGTGCTTCATTAATTCTGTGGAGCTGTGCTTCCCAACCTCTCCTGCAGCTTTTTTACGATTACCAAGTGATTTTCAAATCACCAGTCATCATCATGGAAGCATCTCTGACATGAGGAAACAAAACCATGCCTCAACCAAGTTACCTTCCAACACAGACATGTTGTGAAACAAGGCATGGCAAATCATTAATGGGAAAAGAGATTAGCAAGGAGGTAATACTGGGGACTAGTCCTTTTCCCTCTGGTTGGCTCAGGAAAATATGTGGCAATGTCAGGCTAAAATATGTATTATTTTGTAATTTTATAATTTTGTCATTTAATCACCTGCAAATGCAAATTTTGAACTCAATGTTTAATACATTGATAGGCAGTTCCAAAATGTTATTATAATATATATCTAGGCTCTGGCTGAGTTTTTTAATTCACTTTCTATTCACTCAGAAGACAGGAAGGAACAAAGAAATAGCAATTAGTGGTCACACAACTGCTGCTGAAAAGAATGGTCATCACCAGAGGTTCTAGTCTAAATACAACTGGACGTTAAACACTGTTCTGCATATAAAGTTTATGTTTTCTGTTACCTGAGTAGCAGTGCCAAAAGCATGACCAAAGTCAATGCCAATCATTCCCCAGTCTCCATATTGACCATAAAATTGCTCAGGTGCCGATCCCCTATGCCAACTATCCAGTGACTGATGCACAGCAAAGCATGTGAACGGGCAAAGTGGGACCGCAGAGTGAGAAAAGCTTCAGGAGTCGTGCTCATTTTTACAAATGCCCGCCTAGAATACAAAAAGTAAAGACATTTTATATAGAATTCCTGCTATGACATGTATCTATCCCCTCTTCTAATATGTTTGTTTGCATTTCAATAGTCTGTTTTATTTTAGTGTGTGTATCCAATTACTGTTATGCAATACCTATTAGTTATATGCTTATTTAAGGCTGGTACACCAAGGCCAAATATTGGCCAGTTCAACAGAAACTAGCTGACATTCAGCCTGTGTGTACAGCAGCCTGACAAAAAGCCAGTCTTAAGGACTGACTTTTATCAAACAGGCATGCTGGAAATGCAGCATTTGATCAGCGCTTGCAGCCAATGCGAGCACTGATCAGTGTGTTCTGCCAAGGTCCCTCCTGTCATAATGCAATAGTTCAGCGGAGGAGATTGCCACACTAACATTGCAAAATTCCCCGTGTGTACCAAGCATTAGTGTAACCTATCAGTACATAAGCTTTATAACAAACGTGTAAGAGTTCAACACAGTATGGGAGAACAATACACACCTTTATAACCCACCCAAGATGTAGCTGAAGCACAGTTTACTCACCGTAAAAGGTCTCCAGGAACAAGATTCTCTCTTTCTCTAAAAGACTTCACTGTGGAGGAACGATCAACATTTCTGTAATACAAAAATTAGGACCTATCACTTCACAAATCCAGTATAAAGTAATAATTAACATATAAATGGAATAAAGAGATGTATACCAATGCAATGAGATATTAACGACATTGATGTCTTACTATATTCAACAATAGTGATGTCGCAGGTGTAAATATCTCTCCTGGAGGTATTCAATGTTTTATTTCTAACCTTTTAGTAAACACAGACATCTAACAACACAGCTACAAAAAAACTTTACATTATGTGCTCACATGTAAAAATACAGTATTAAAATAGTAATGATCTATTTACTTACTTGTACGTATTAAGATGTTGCAGTGGGTTCCCAACTTTGTCCTTTTTGTCCAGCCAGGCTCTGTAATGGAAGTCTGGGCTATATTTTCTGCAGTCAAATAACAACATGCGTTAATGGAATAGTAAATTTTTAGCAGATAATTGACTTAAAATACAAATCCATGCAAAACATTTTTTATTTATTTTTTTTAAATAGCATTTAGCAGCTTCATAGAGTCAGATTTTCATTTCTAAAACACACACCTTTTGGAGAATCATCACACCTTTTTACAGTATCAATGAACAGGATTTCACAAGAAATATCCCCAGCAGGGATAGAATGTTTGCTGAATACAGAGTAAACTGACCAAGAGACTTTTGTCTACAAAATCTTTCCAGAATTGCTTTATTTTACAATTACAGTTTTACATTGTTAACCGCTTCCCCTCTGCCCTGTAGCACAAATACTGCTACAGCGCGGCATGGCTGCTCAAAATCACGTATATATATTGGCGGCTACAGCTGTCAATCACCAAGTTCGAGCCGGAGATTCCCTGCCAACACCCGGCGATCGCCGAGTATTACTGACAAGGGAGAGGTCTGTATGTAAACAATGCAGATCTCTCCCCTGTCAGCTCCAGCATGCTGCTTTGTATTGCTCTGCATAGCAGAGCAATACAAAGCAGCATGCCTCCCTAGTAAAAAACACACACAGCTAACCCTTTGATCGCCCCAGATGTTAATCCCTTCCTGCCCAGTGCCATTAGTACAGTGTCAGTGCTTTTTATTAACACTGATCACTGTATTAGTATCACTGGGGATGTCAGCGACAGTTAGTCAGTCCCCACCCAGTGTCAGAATGCCCGCCGTAGACCCGCTTTAAGTTGCTGATCGCTACCATCACTAGTATTAAAAAAAAAAAAAAAAATTCCAGTATATAAACTGCCATTTGTAGATGCTATAACTTTCACGTAAGACAATAAATTTACACGTATTGGGATTATTTTTAGTAAAGACATGTAGCAAAATACATTTTGGCCTAAATTTATGACAAAATTTGATTTTTAAATTTTTTTTACTGGATATGTTTTATAGCAAAAAGTCAAAAAATATTGTTTTTTTTTCAAACTTTTTGGTCTTTTTTTGCTTCAGAGGGGATCAAATAACACTGAATGAAAGCTCCATTTGTGGGGAAAAAAGAGGACATAAATTTAATCTGGGTGCAGTGCTGCATGACCACACAATTGTCAGTGAAAGTAACACAGTGCCGTATTGGAAAAAAACGGCCTGGTCAGGAAGGGGGGGGGAAATCCTCTGGAGGGCAAGTGGTTAAGCATAAAAAACACCACTTTAGTAGTAAACAGCAGTGTTATAAACAAAGGGTGGTTTACAGCAAACATAATAGAAAATAATACCCATTTAAGTTTTTCCTTTCATTTTCAGTCATTGCTCCTAAAATGAAGTCTTTTAAAGTACATGTGTTCTCCAGCCACTCAATCATTCCAATTCTAAAGAAATGGGAAAGATCAATTAGTGTTTTTTCTGCTGAACAAAATAATTTTTTTATACATGAAATTAAACACATAAAATTCATGAACTAAGACAGGAACTCTTACCGTGTGGTCATGGGTATCACTTGGTATGTCTTTATCTGCATATATCTCTGGCTACAAGCTGCATCCTGGGAGAGGATAATATTCATGACATCAAATAGCTGCTCAATGCGCTGGTCCTGGCGCAGGTCTTCACCACCTTTCACCAGAAAAGGGTAATCCCGCTCATCATTTCCTCGGATAACAATACGCTTGGGTTTTCTGATGGAACTCATAACTTTAACCTTACGTTTAAATCAAAAGAGTAATTCTTTCATAAAGCATTAACGGCAAATAAAAATGTTAATGTGGACCAGTTTTATCTGTTTAATCAGATCAGTTCTGTATGTACAACTGTAGGGAATCAGGACATTCTAAACATTGGTCAGTGCTGTGGATATTTTCAATCTGGTGCCCTCCTACCTTACTGTGCAACTCTTCCACCTATCCATGACAACAAAGCTGAATTAGCCCATTCCTTCAATAATATTATATTATTATAAAATTCTAATAAATGGAGTAATAGAATGCCAATATACTATGCAGAGTCCTGTAAACATCACACCTTGACCTTTTGCACTTTATATGCATGCAGTAATGTCTGCTTTTGTTATACATTACTGCATGAGTTTCAATCTGTGCTTACCTAAATTTACTCTAAATTTGCAGGGTTGTTTTTTTGTTATGCTAAGTGGTGAAGGCACTCTCAAAAACAGAGATTTTTTGTTGGGGTAAAACCCCAAAATGCTACATGTATTCATTTTTAGAAAAACACATCATGTACAGTACAAAAAGGCGAACCAGCAATGTAACAGTGAAAATACTTACTGGTGCAAAATGCATTTTTCACACATTAAAGTCCTTTCATTTTGCATAAGAAAAATAGACACGTGATTGGAGCCTCTATCATGAGATGTGTCAGTCATACTTCCTGAAGCAGTACCTTAAAATGTATCTATTAATAAATCTCACACTTCACATGGCTTAACCCCTTGGCACCAGCACCTCCCCATCCTTTAAGGGGTTTCAGATGGCGGGAGACTAGGTGAGGTTTCTAATCATGTGACCACCGTGATTGGCTGTCACAGCGTTCACATTAATGGAAGGCTCCCGATCGCAGGTAGAGATTGGTAGCTTTCTGTTAGCCGTTGGTAACTGTGCTGGGAGAGCACATGGCAGACGCTCCAGGAACAGTTCTGTTTATCTTTAGGTGTGCACATATGCAGCCTCTCAGCGTTAAGGCCCGCCCGCCCGCCGAGAAGCCGCATATATGTGTCTGGCCAGCGCCAAGTTGTTAACAGAGCATTCTATTTTGATTACACAATTTAAAGCTGCTCTGGACCTTTACTGTCATTTAAATCAATTTGTTAGGGCAAAGCTGTCCCAAGCAAACTATTATCTCCACTAACAGGTGTGCCGCTGGGCATGCAGCATAAAGTGTATGTAAGAATAATATTAATATTAAATCCACATTGCCCTTAGTGTGCTGTAAGTGAAACAGATACAACCACGAAGAGTTAATATCAGCACAGGGGACTTCTTTGGCGCCTGTGGATGCATATTTGACACAGATTACTTGTTACACTTTATTAGGTACACTTGTTCAATTGCTTGGTAACACAAATTGCTAATCAGCCAATCACATGGCAGCAACTCAATGCATTTAGATGTGGTGAAGACGACTTGCTGAAGTTCAAACCGAGGATCAGAATGGGGAAGAAAAGGGATTTAAGTGACTTTGAACGTGGCATGGTTGTTGGTGCCAGACAGGCTGGTGTGAGTATTTCAAAAACAGTTGATTTACTGGGATTTTCACGCACAACCATCTCAAGGGTTTACAGAGAATAGTCTGAAATAGAGAAAAGTGAGCGGCAGTTGTGTGGACAAAAATGCTGTGTTGATGTCAGAGGAGATTGGGCAGACTGGTTCTAGATGATAGAAAGGCAACAGTAACTCAAGTAACCACTTGTTACAACAACACATTGAACCTTGAAGCAGATGGGCTACAGAAGCAGAAGACCACACCGAGTGCCACTCCTGTCAGCTAAGAACAGGAAGCGGAGGCTACAATTTGCACAGGTTCACCAAAATTGGGCAATAAAAGATTGGAAACATGTTGCCTGGTCTGAGGAGTCTCGATTTCAGCTGCAACATTTAGATGGTAGGGTCAGAATTTGGCGTAAACAACCTGAAAGCATGGATCCAACCTGCCTTGTATCAACAGTTCAGGCTGGTGGTGTAATGGTGTGGGAGATAGTTTCTTCACACAGTTTGGGCCCCTTAGTACCAACTGAATGTCGTTTAAATGCCACGTTCTACCGGATTATTGTTGCTGACCATGTCCATCCCTTTATGACTACAGTGTGCATCCCTTCATGATTATTTCCAGCAGGATAATACACCACGTCACAAAGCTCAAATCATCTCAAACTGGTTTCCTGAACATGACAATGAGTTCACAGTACTCCAATGGCCTCCACAGTCACCACATCTCAATACAATAGAGCACCTTTGGGATGTGGTGGAACAGGAGATTCACATCATGGATGTGCAGTTGACAAATCTACAGCAACTGTGTGATGGTATCATGTCACTATGGACCAAAATGTTTCCAACACATCTGAGGAATGTTTCCAACACTTTGTTGAATCTATGACACAAAGAATTAAGGCAGTTCTGAAGGCAAAAGGAGGTCCAACCCGGTACTAGCAAGATGTACCTAATAAACTGGCCGGTGAGTGTATTTTAGTGCACAGTTTTATTATATGATTGTTTTGAGATATTATCACTGCACTAGTGTTGCACAAGTGTTGATTTGGAATTGTAGTGCTGTACTCTACTTAGAGTGCGGATATTAACTCTTTGTGGTTGCATATTATGGGGGAGATTTACTAAAACTAGTGTACTCAGAATCTGGTGTAGCTGTGCATGGTAGCCAATCAGCTTCTAACTTCAGCTTGTTCAATTAGACTTTGGTAATATAACCTGGAAGTTGATTGGTTTCTGTGCAGACCTGCACCAGACTTTGTACTTTCCACTTTTAATAAATCGCTCTCAAGATGTATGTAGCCTCAGCTTCATAACATATACACCACTGTGTTCCGGCAGTGGAATGGAAACTTCCCTTCCCACATCTGGAACAAAAATGATTTGAGCTGAGCGCTGCTTAGCCATGCACAGGCAACTTTGTATTCTCTGAATGAATATAAAGCTTTCTTCGATTGGCTGGGGCGGAGAGGCAGGCGGATGACAATACAATCTCCTACAAATGGTTAAGCAGCACTCAGGCCAACTCGATTTTATTCCGGATGTGGGAATGGAAGTTTCCATCTCACTTCTGGAACACAGCGTTGTACACTGTATGTAGCTACATACAGTTTATACAGTGCACCATGGGGGAGCACCTGTTAGTGTAGAAAATAGATTTTTTAGGCCAGCTATACCCAAATGAACAAAAGTGACAGTAAAGGTGGAGATCAGATTTAATATATCTCCAGCATACCAATTAAAAAAAAAAAACACTACTCCCAAAGACACCTCATAAGACTTGAAGTCTAGGTAAGAAATCACATAGTCTCTAGCTTCCAGGAACAATGTGGCTGTTTTACAATATTAAAGACGATTGATTTCAGACAGATAGACCCAGTCAGAGAAGTTTTCAGAATCAACAAGGCACAACCAATGAAGCATGACACTTGGCATATCACAGCTTTGCTTCAGGGCTCGTTTGCACTTGCTTCAAAATGTGGCATTGGACATGATCTTTTAATGCATTCTGAATGCCAATCAAAGCCCATCACTAAATAAAATGATTAGTTTACAGTCCTGTTTACGCATTGTGTTTGCTTCAAAAGTTATACCGTGTCGCTTTCATGGTGCTTCAAAGCCACCATAGAAGTCTATGACAAAGCTCACTTACAGCTTTTGAAAGGCTTTTATTCAGCTTTAGCTTGACTTTGTTTTGAATGTATTGCAAGTTTGAGATATCCCAGGATGCACTGGGAGACCAACAAGCAAACCAGAAAGACTTCATCAGCAGTCACCTCTGGTTAATGTATATATTATGGAAGTGTCTGGTGCAGGAATCACATCTGGTGTGCAGTGTGGAGCAGCATGAAGGTGAGTGGGGTCTGGACTGTAAAGGAGCAACTAGCAGACAGCACACAAGGTGTGCAACATGGGAATGTTGTAACGGAATGTGAGCAGGAACCAGAGAGAGAGGACTGAGTGGCAAAGAATCATCAGAGCTGGCATAATAGAGAAGAAGAAACTAGCAATGTCACATGTGGTGTGTTGCATAAGAGCAATATAGCAGGAGATGAGCAGGGACCAGAGAGAGGTGGGGGATCAGCAAACCAAAGGATCAACAGAGCTGGGGATTACTACTGAGTAAGGGATCAGCAAAACTGTGGGTTACTACTGAGCGGAGGATCAGCAGAGCTGAGGATAATTACCGAGTGGGGCATCAACAGAGCTGGGGGTACTACTAAGCAGGGGATCTGCTGAATGAGGGTACTAACAAACAGAAAATCAACACACACAGTGCATATGCCGAGCTTCATTAAAGCTTGAAAACAGCATCACAGATGATTCAAACACATCACAAAAGCATGTTAAAGAGGTAGGCGCTTTAATTTGTGTTCAAATCAAGTGTAAATAATCCCTTAAGCAGTTACCACCAGATGCTGCCGTGATATTCATATCATTTTAATATGCCTAAACTGAGAGATACACATGAATAGAACACATACCCTTTCATCAAATCCAGAAATCTTTACATGATACTCAGGCAAAGGTTTGCTTCTTCCATTATACTGGCCTACGAGACATTGTGAAAAAGAAAAAAGTATTGTCAGTAAAAATAGTTTTTTTGCACTGACCATAATAATCTTTTTCTTGTAGTCCATGATAATACAAGACTTTATAGGCCTATACTGCTGCCTACAGGAAAAACAGACACTACATACACATAGACAACTGAAGGCCAGTCCCCTTGAGACTATAACCCCTTCTACCTGCTCAGTTGCACCAGTCCAAATAGAAAATGTTAGCATAAAAGTAAAGGAAGAGGTGTTCTTCAATGTACCCAGAGAAACATTTTATGGTGAGTATGAAAAAAATGTGATTCTTTGTACACATCATAAAATCTTTTACTCTGAGTTCACTGAAAGACACAGCAAAGATCTTAATCTCTGCCAACCTCAGGAATATGACAATAGGCACAAAAACAAAGCACAACCAAGCTCCTGACGGTGGCCCCAGTCTGCTACAGGCAGCTCAGTTGATACAAAGCAGTACACATAGCAATTGGTCACAGAGAGCACAACTAGAGGGGCAGGTGAGTACAAAAAAAACAAACTAAAACAAACAAAAAAAAAAACAAAACGTGGAGATCTTGATCGCTGACCAATAGGACGTTACAAAGCAGTATCTATTGAGGGGTGGGAAAAAGTAGACAACTCCCTAAGCAGGAACAGTTCAAAATTACTGTCCACAAGACTCATGGTTAGCAAACAGGAGAAGGGACCACTTTCAAAAGGCCAGCTACTGCAGGATAGATGACCTCAAGGTCCCCATTAGGAAGTATGGGAATGCTAGACAGTCAAACAGATGGCAAAGCTGCCAAGAGACCCACTCTGCACAAACAAACTCCATACAGTGAAGAAAAATATCTATATGATGCACAGGAATCAGAGAAGGAGGTAGAAGACCAACACACAAAAAGGGTGAGAATCAAGGCCACCCCATTTCTGCAAAGGACCAGTAATGCACCACAGAATAATGCTGCCAGCCTGTAAAAACATACCTCACAGAGATAAAGGCAACAGGGAAGGTAACTGTAGAAAAGCAAAAGAAGAAAATACCAAACTATCCAGAACATCCCAGAACTGATGCAGATAAACAGGAAGTTACCTAGGAGATACCTGGAACAAAAAGTCCTAAGGAATAAGGGGCATCAGCCAAACCAGTCCATACTGGTTTACCTGGAGTGATGGAACATGCCTTGCAAACCCAGCAGTAGAACACCTCCCACCTTAACCACTTGCCGTACGGCCACTGTATATAAACGGCTGGACGGTGGCAGCCCAGGGGCGGGTTGCCGTTCAAAAACGGCGCCCATCATTTTGGACTGTGCATGCTCCCTGGAAGCGCGCAGCACCACGATCCTGTGCCTGCTGTGTCCTTCGGACACAGTGGAACACCGATCGTCGTACGGGACCTTTGTGTGAGGTCCCGATCATGTGATCTTTGATTGGCCAATCAGTGATCACATGCAGAGTAGTAAGCAAGATGTCACTTCTGACATCATTGCTTACTACGTGTGAAATCTGTGAATGATCACAGAGGTCACATGGTACAAGGCTATTCACAACAGCCTTGTACCATGTGACAAGCTGTGACCAATCACAGCTCACACAGTTGTTCTCAATGGCTGCAAGAATGCAGCCAGAGAGAAGGAGAAATGATTGTTTTTACAGCCTTCATGGGTGTAAAAGCAATCCGTGTTAAAAAAAAAAAAAAACTTCATCACCCTCCACAAGTAGTACAGTGTCACTGTTTAGGGTGACCGTATGTAGGAAAAAAAAATGTTTTTAAAAATTATAATTTTTGGTTATAAACTAATTTGGGTTATTTTTTTTTTTACTAAAAAGATAACTGAATAAATGTTGGGCAAGATTCATGATGAAATATCATTTATTTGCAAAATTTTACAAGAAAAACACTTTTTTTAAAAAATTTTTGGACTTTTTCATTTATATAGCAAAAAAAAAAATAAAAAATCCCAGTGGTGAATAAATACAACCAAAATAAAGCTTTGTCTAAAAAAAAATGCTAAAAATTTCATATGGATACAATGTTGCATGACCGTGCAATTGTCATTCAAAGTGTGATAGCACTGTAAAGCTGAAAATTGGCCTGGACAGGAAGGGGGTAAAAGTGTCTGGACTTGAAGTGGTTAAAACAATGAGGAAAAACTCAAACTAGACATCTGCCTCTCAAGACCCATCACCCACCGTTAAGGGCAGTCACCTAAACAGGAAGGCATCAGTCCTAGGACTGATGATCCAAGCAGTTCAGAGAAACCCACAGAGCAACTGCCAAGAATCAGAATAGGCCACAGTATTTGTCTGCCTCCAACAGGAGCAGGCACAACCCTGGAATGCCCTTCTGTACTGAAACTGCAAAGCAGATGAATTAAAAAAAAAAGGTAAACAACAGGTAATGTTGATCCCACAAAGCAAACAGAGCACTTCAGTACTTCCTCCAAAGGAGCCATGGCCTTCAAAACAAAAACACGCAGAGCCCCTAAAAACTGGGAACTGGAAAGTCCATCAGTGACACAGAACCTGGAATATCTCTGAGTGCAGGCCCCATTTCCCAAACCAGAATCAGGACAGCAGATGAACCAGTATGCCAACCTTCCGCTCCCAGGGTGTGAAACATGGACAAAGCTTGAAAAAGGAATCCTGCCAAAGACAAACACCGTTACCACTATGAACATTGTAACGCTATTGTTCCTATCCTCCAACCCCTCCCAAGCCTGTCAGACTGGTATCCATCACTAAAATCTGTCAAGAGTGGGAACAAGAAGCATCCCAGCTACAGATTTACAGGTCCAGATAACCTGGTCATTAGCATATGAGGCAACCTGCCATATATGGTCCCTTGAAGGTAAAATTCAGAGAAAGACCAGACTTGAATCAACCATAGAGATTGCCACAAAGGAGGCTAACATTATGCTGGAGCTCTCTTACAGAAGCACCAGGATGACTGACCAGAGATCGAGGCTAGGAGTGGAAAAAAATTAATTCCACATGGGAAGGAAAAATGTGGGCTGGAACTTCATCTAGGAAAAAACCCAAGACATGGTGAGTGAAGAGTTGGATCCAGTGCAGACAAGTCCTGCATAGTTCACATCAGATCATCAAGACAACCCATGAAAACTGGTCGCCCCCCAAATAGGAAGTCATCCAGATATCGCACAACGGGAATGTCCTGGAGACAGAGTATAGCGAATAAGAGGGCCTATAAATCACTGAACCCATACAGTGTGAAGAAATGTGGGAGTCCCACAGCAGTGATAAGGAGATGAGGTGATGGAAAGGAAAGAAAAAAATGCAAGAAAACATCTTAAATATCCATACAGGCCAGAGGTTTCCCTGGTAAGGCCAAGAAAGAACTTGGAAGAATCCAGTGGAAATACATAGCTCTGAACAAAGACAGACAGGGTCTGCAGCTCCAGCATAGGCCAGAGACCCCGTACCAATGAGAAGGGCTGAAGTAGAGGGAAAAACCCTAAGAACGGTCCATCCTAGGAACATGGACAACAGCACAGCCAAGTAGCAGATATTATTATTATACAGGATTTATATAGCGCCAAAGTTTGCGCAGCGCTTTACAATATAAGGGAGACAGTACAATTACAATACATTTCAGTACAGAAGGAATAGGAGGGCCCTGCTCGTGGAGCTTACAATCTAAAGGAAGGGGGAGGTGATACATAAGGTGATAGCTGCGGGGGATGATCTGGTGGAGGTGGGGTAGGCTTCCCTGAAGAAGTGAGTTTTCAAAGATCGCCTAAAGGCAGACAGGGTGGGGGCTGACCGGACATGCTGTGGTAGGGAGTTCCAGAGGATGGGAGAGGCTCTGGAGAAGGTGATGAGGGAGCTACAGAGGAGGATATCATGGGAGGAGCGGAGTGGGCGATTTGGGCGGTATTTGTGGATGAGGCTGGTGATGTAGCTAGGGGCAGTGTTGTGGATGGCTTTGTAAGCTGTGGTTAGTATTTTGAATTTTATACGTTGGGGTTAATGGAAGTCAGTGGAGGGATTGGCAGAGAGGGGCAGCAGTCCCTGATCGGTTGGTAAGGTGTATGAGTCTAGCAGCAGCATTCATAATAGACTGAAGGGGGGATAACCTGTGTAATGGTAGACCAGTAAGGAGGGAGTTGCAGTAATCGAGGCGGGATATAACCAAGGCGTGGATAAGTTGTTTTGTGGTGTCATTGGTCAGGAAGGGGTGGATTTTGGAAATGTTCCGGAGGTTGAGGCGGCAGGATTTAGCCAGTGAGTGGATGTGGGGCCCAAAGGAGAGGTCAGAGTGTAGGATTATGCCTAGCACCCTGGCACGAGGGGAAGGACCAATGGTTGTGCTGTTGATCTTAATGGTAAAGTCGTGAGTGGGGGATCGGGGAGGAGGAAATATTACAAGCTCAGTTTTTGAAAGATTGAGTTTAAGGTAGTGATGTGACATCCATGCTGATATGTCACTTAGTAGATTTGTGATAGGTGAGGAGATTGAGGGGGTGAGCTGGGGAGTGGAGAGATAGATCTGGGTGTCATCATCATAGAGGTGGTATTGGAAGCCATGGGAGGTTATCAGTTGGCCCAGGGAGGAAGTATAGAGAGAGAATAGGAGGGGACCAAGAACAGAACCTTGGGGTACCCCAACAGAAAGAGGAAGCGGAGCAGAGGAGGAGGAGTTGTATGTGACACTGAAAGTGCGCTGAGAAAGGTAAGAGGAGAACCAGGAGAGAGCAGAGTCACGGAGGCCGATGGAGTGGAGTTTACTGAGGAGGAGCGGGTGGTTGACTGTGTCAAAGGCAGCGGAAAGGTCAAGGAGTATGAGTATGGAGTAATGGCCGTTGGTTTTAGCAGTTAGTAGGTCATTAGTGAGTTTTAGTAGGGCAGTTTCTGTGGAATGTTGTGGGCTGAAACCAGACTGTCGGGGATCAAGAAGGTTGTTGTCGGTGAGGTAGCAGTTCATACGGTTGTGAACAAGGTGCTCGAGAAGCTTGGAGGCAAACGGGAGCAGGGA